AACTCTCCAGTCTGCTGGACTGACTTCTCTGTGTCTCTTTTCCTCGTTGTGGTTGTCGTGATTCCTTATTCCAGCATATAGTTCCAAATGTTGTGAGCTAATGTGCTGTGACCGCCATCAGCAACAACGTTTTTTCTGTCCAGCCTGCCAAACCGGATTCTCGGTTTCTCTCCTCCTGGCTACGGTGGCTGTGACCCCATTCCAGCCCCATTGTGCCGTTGTGAGCAGATGTGCTTGGTGAGTGATGTACTGTGTGTGTGTGGATGGTGTCTGTAATCAGCAGTGGAGGTTTTCCTACTCTGCTTGCTGAATTGGCTTCTGTTTCTCTGCCTTCTAAATAGGATTGCTGTGATTCTTTATTATGGCATATGGCTCAGAAGGCTATGAGCTATCACGCTCATTGTGACCTGTCAAGCTGGCTTGTCTGTGCTCATGCTGGCATATAGCTCACGCATCATGGGCTTACAAGCTCTGTTGAGATTTCCCGTTGATAGGCTTAGCTGAGTATCTCAATGACAGAATTTGACATTTCGACCCTCTTTCTCTCCAGATCTTAGGTTGAAAAAGAGAAATAAATAAGCATGGGCTTACAGGATAGAGCCAGAGCCGACCTTGTTGTGATAGCCTGCACCATTATCCTGGGAAAATCAAAAAGGAAAAATTGAGAGACTGACTGAAGCAAGATTCAAAGGGATGAAGGGTGTTCAGGGTCCTAGCAGGTCACCCAGCACTCCCCTATCCCCTGGCCTGGACTTGGTGGCACTGTAGCCAAGCTGTGCACCCTCTGTCCTTGGTCCCTGCATCTGTAGCCAGGTTTTTCAATGAAACCATGTTGTTGGAATGGAAATAATGCTTTTCATTTTTCTCAGTGTCTGCACAGGCTTGCAGTATGGGGTCTTGCATCACACATCCTTGGGTAAGTCTGGCATCTTTGCAGACTGATCTATTACCCCTCCAACTCCTGGGCTTTGAGTGTATTTTGCGGCTTTGACCTGGCTGTGGAAAACAGTGTACATTTTTAAAATGGGCATTGTCATATATTGGCTTGTGGAATAAATGTTCTCCTCAAGGAGTGTCTTAAAGAGTATGGAGTATGTAAAGGAGTGGAGAGATATGATAGAGTTTGTGTGAATGGCAAAAAACTACTGTAAAGCGCTTTGGGTTGTCATCAAGACTAGACAAGCACAATATATATATAGACCATTTACCATTACTTACCTGAGAAGAGGGTTTTGCAACACAAGCCTCCTTTTACAAATGTGGGGTTTGACTCTTTAACCCCTTGGAGGTTTAAAGAGGGAGAAAGGGGTACAAAGTGCTTTTCGCCTGTCAAAAACTGAGTCTGTATCAGCCATATGAAATCAACTGTTCTTTCTTTTCACAAATATTCATAAACATATATTTTCAGATATTTCCTGAAATATCTCAACTGAGAGTTAAGAAGTGATTTTTAGTGACACAAATTCTCATGTTACTCACAGGAGTATAATTCCATCCCATCAGTTCCTCACAGTGGCCCCGTACACACCTGGCATTGACTTGATTTTTGTGATTCAAACACAAGTGGACAGCTCTGAGTGGGTGCATTCATACCTGGTATTAACATGTGGCCCCACATGTGTCTCGTGATCAGATCTCATTTCCCTGCCCTATATGCAAAGAAACATGTGTCATCACAATAATTTCTGTTCACAAAGACCAAGTTCAATTTTCAGCTTCCAAAGTTATATTTGATAAGGACGGTAGATATTTGATCATCTCAGGTAAACTGTCTCAGGTTCCCATTTTATTAGTCAATATCTATGCCCCCAACTTTGATAATCCACACTTTATGAATAAGCTTTTTGAACACCTCCCATCATTAAGTAACAGCTTTCTTATATTTGGTGGTGACATGAACTGTGTAATTGATCCCAAACTTGATCGCTCTAATCCTCGTTCCCTGACCCAATCATTGATCTGTTTCTGATTTTATGTCTAAAAATGGTTGCATTGATCCTTCTTTTCACAGATGCATCAGTCCTTGTGTCTGATCGATTATTATTTAATTGATGCCAAACCAATTTCCAACGTGTTGGCTGTTAAATTTCATCCTATCATCATATTCAGTTCTCCCCTGTGGGTACTTTTGTCAGACGATAAGCTTAACAAATTTGTTGCAACTGCAATTGATGATTTTATTGTCGGAACCCATCTCTTGCTTATTGCTGTGGGAATCACTAAAAGCATTCCTACGGAGCCCAATACTTTCTTATTCGGCACATTTGAATAAAACCCGCAAAGCTAAACTGCAACAGCTCTCCATAAATATTATTGATTTGGATCTTCAACTTGCCGCTGGCTCCTGTCCTAGTTTACTCAAACATTGTTTAGACTTACAGACTGAAGTTGAACTTGATTCGCCATTAACTGTAGGGGGAATCATAAGTGCAATGAAAAACATACAAAACAATAAAGCTCCTTGCCCTGATGGAAACACAGTTGAATTTTTTTAAAGATTCCAGGATAAACTGGCCCCACTGTTGCACTCTGTTTACATTGAATCTCTGCAGCATTCTCTGCTTTCTCCCTCCTACTATGAGACAACTATTATTAGAGAGACAACTACTATTAGAAGTCTGCTTCTAAAAAAAGATAAAGACCCAAATCTCTGCAGCTCGTACAGACCTCTCTCTTTCATAAATGTGGATGCTAAGATCCTTGCTAAGGCTCTGGCTCATCATTAATGTTTCAGAGGAACAAACTGGATTCATAAAAGTGCGTCAGCTGTTCTATAATGTCCGAACCCTCTTAAACATAATTTACTCTAAAACCATCACAAACTCCCCCGAAGTTGTGATATCTCTCGACACCGAAAAAGCGTTCGACAGGGTAGAATGGGACTGCTTGCTGTTCTAAATAAATTTGGGCTGGGAAATGTTTGTTTCATGGATACGCCCCCTTTATACATCCCCATAAGCCAGCATCTCCACCAATGGCATTCAATCCAGCTTTTTTACTTTGACACCTGGCACTCAACAGGGATGTCCCTTGTCACCTTTATTATTTTAGGTCCTCTTCCATTTTTGCCAGAATATCTCGATCAGGCATGGAATTTAAGCTATCACATTATGCGGATGATCTATTACTGTATGTCTCAGATCCAGATCATTCTATACCTGCTATCCTATCCTTCCTACAGACATTTGGTTTATTCTCAGGGTATAAAGTAAATATTATAGAGTGAATGCTTCCTTTCAAATTGAGCCCATCCGGCTTCAAGTATCTGGGTATTAATGTGACCTGAACATTAACGTCTCTTTTTTCTGCCAACATCTCCCCTTTGATGTCCAAAATCAAATCTGACCTTCAAAGATGGAGAAGTTTACCTTTGTCATTGATTGGAACAATGAATGCAGTGAAAATGAATATCATGCCCAAATTTCTGTTTTTGTTCTATTGTCTCTCCCTTTTAACCAAAATGCTTTTTTAAAACTATTGATCAGACAATTTCTTCTTTCTTATGGTGTGGAGAGGCACCCAGAATCCACAAATCATTACTGGAGAGATACAGATTTAATGGTGTACTATCTCTCCCCAATTTCCAAATGTATTATTGGGCAGCACACATCCAAAAAATCTAATTTTGGTTTAATTTAAGCGATTCACCCTATTATAAGCTAGAGGCACAGTCTTGTGTCTTGTCCTCTCTGCTTTACTTACCTCCTCTATCCCAACCAGCCCCTTTGGCTTTACAAAAAATCATTTCCACCTTCAAGATCTGGTACCAATTCAGACATTTCAAATATAATTCAGCTTCAACTTTTGCTCCCTTACTAGAGAATCACTTTTTCCAACCCACATTCACAGACTCCGCCTTTTCTGTATGGCATGCTAAAGGCAGAGTATGCAGGACTGTCATGTGAATTTTACCTCCCTCCCTCTCATGTCTTTTGTTATTTTCAAATCAGACACTATCAAATATTTTTTTCCTACTTTTCCTTTCTCACCTTCAAATCAATTAATGGATGAGTTTCTCTGCTCTAATCCCCTCAAAAAATCCTTCATATAACAGTTATAATATTATAGAACTAGTATAGTAATATTTAGAACTCATTTTTTGCTCGACTGTCACTAATATATGCCAACGTCATTGATAGTTGCGAAAAATGACATTGCAGAACTACTTTGATACTGTGTCAAAAATACTTTCAATAACTATATCGGTTTCTCCCCACATTGCTTGGCTTCCTGAAGATTATAGCCGATACACCTCCATGCAACCAGACATTCTGGCTTTACTTCTTCACTTGCAAGCGCTCGCCATCTTCTGCTTCACTGGAAGTTCACCAGAGCTCCCTCCAGCTCTCAATGGCTCAGTGAGGTCATGTCTTTTCTTAAACTAAAGAAGATTAAATATTCATTGCGAGGTTATTTAAGAAGTGGCAATTTTTCTTAATATTCTTCAACTCTCTTCCTTCTCTGCGTCCTGATCGATGGGTCCCACCCTACTTTTGTTTTTAATCATCATATTTTCTTTGTTTTGTTTTTTTTCTTGTTTAGTGTGATATGTGCCAGATACCTTGTTGTTCTAACACAAGAATTTCCCA